GTGTTGACACTCCACAGCATGACGCTCCATCAGTATTTACCCTCCGACAGTGCAGCACTCCCTCAGCACTGACCCTCCAATAGTGCAGCACTCCCTCAGCACTGACCTTCCAACAGTGCAGCGCTCCCTCAGCACTGACCTTCCAACAGTGCGGTGCTCCCTCATCATTGATCCTCCGACAGTGCGGCGCTCCCTCAGCACTGACCCTCCGACAGTGCGGCACTCCCTCAGTACTGACCCTCTGACAGTGCGGCGCTCCCTCAGCACTGACCCTCCGACAGTGCAGCACTCCCTCAGCACTGACTGTCTTACAGTGTGGCTCTCCCTCAGCACTGACCCTGCGACAGTGCAGCACTCCCTCAGCACTGAACCCTGCACAGTGATGCTCACACAATCCTGATCCTACCACAGTGTAACACTCCTTTGGCACTGATCCTCAGACAGTACAGTACTCCCTCTCTATTGACCTTCCGACAGTGCGGTGCTTCCTCACTATTGACCCTCCGACAGTGTGGCACTCACTCCGCACTGGCCCTCCGACAGTGTGGCACTCCCTCAGCACTGACCCTCCGAGAGTGCGGCACTCCCTCAGTACTGACCCTGCGACAGTGCGGCACGCTTTCAGTATTGACCCATTGACAGTGCAGCACTCCCTCAGCACTGACCCCCTGACAATGCAGCACTCCCTCAGCACTGACCCCTGCACAGTGCTGCTCACACAATCCTGATCCTACCACAGTGTAACACTCCCTTGGCACTGATCCTCAGACAGTACAGTGCTCCCTCTCTATTGACCTTCCGACAGTGCGGTGCTTCCTCACTATTGACCCTCCGACAGTGTGGCTCTCGCTCAGCACTGACGCTCTGACAGTGCGGCGCTCCCTCAGCACTGACCCTCCGACAGTATGGCACTCCCTCAGCACTGACCCTCTGACAGTGCGGCGCTCCCTCAGCACTGACCCTCCGACAGTGCCACATTCCCTCAGTACTGACCATCCGACATTATGGCACTCCCTCAGTATTGACTCTCTGACACTGCAGCACTCGCTCAGACTGCCCCTTCAACAATGCAACAGTCCCTCAGTTCTGGCCCATTGATAGTGCAACACTCCCTCAGCACTGACTCACTGACAGTTCAGCACTTCCTCAGTACAGAACTTCCCACTGTGCCCGTTCCCTCATTACCAATCCTCCCAGAGTATGGCACTCCCTGAAGCTGACCGTCCAACAGTGCAGCATTCCTAGGTACTGACCCTCTGACATTGCAGCGCTCCCTCGGTGTTGACACTCCACAGCATGACGCTCCATCAGTATTTACCCTCCGACAGTGCAGCGCTCCCTCAGTACTGACCCTCCGACAGTGCGGCACTCCTTCAGTACTGACCTTCTGACAGTGCAGCGCTCCCTCAGCACTGACCCCTGCACAGCGCCTGCTCACACAATCCTGATCCTACCACAGTGTAACACTCCCTTGGCACTGATCCTCAGACAGTACAGTATTCCCTCTCTATTGACCTTCCGACAGTGCTGTGCTCCCTCACTATTGACCCTCTGACAGTGT